CAAAGTACACATCAGGACAATGTTCCCGCATTCAGCAGGCAGTAGTAATTTTAGGCAACACAAAGCAAAGTACACATCACAACAATGTTCCCGCATTCAGCAGGCAGTAGTAATATTAGGCAACACAAAGCAAAGTTCACATGGTGATCAATAAGGGCAATGTTCCCGCATTCAGCAGGCAGTAGTATATTAGGCAACACAAAGCAAAGTACACATGGTGATCAATAAAGGCAATGTTCCCGCATTCAGCAGGCAGTATTAATTTTTAAGGCAACACAAAGCAAAGTACACATGGTGAACAATAAGGGCAATGTTCCCACATTCAGCAGGCAGTAGTAATTTTAGCAAAGTACACATGGTGATCAATAAGGGCAATGTTCCCACATTCAGCAGGCAGTAGTAATTTAAGGCAACACAAAGCAAAGTACACATGGTGATCAATAAGGGCAATGTTCCCTCATTCAGCAGGCAATATACCGATCCAAGGGACAGAGCAAGGGTTAGGGTTAGGGTATTCAAAGTAATTCAATTCGGGTTTTTGAAAACAGGAGGCTACTAAGGTGATCTACGGCACGGAGCAAGGGTTGCTGTTGAAATCAATCTCTGGGTAGCCCAAAACTGGCAAGTTGGCCTTTAAGAAGACCAGCTTTTCCACCGCAAGGGGGTCGAGCGAAGTACGTTGGAGGGTGACGACATCTCCTGCCAGGCTGAAGACCCTCTCACTCTGCACGCTAGTTGGTGGGCAGCTGAGATACTTGCGTGCAACGGTTGAGAGGTCAGGCCATGTATTGCTTCGGGAGGACCAGTACGCCAATGGATCGCTGTCTACAATCTCCTGAGGCTCCTCAAAGTAACGATTGACAGAGAACTCTGCTGAGTCAATCTTTGCCGCCTGGGCCGGCAAAGATGTTTCTTGCCCTGCCATCAAAACGATACTATCGGTTATGAAATGCTCCACGCTTCTCTTTTTCAGCTGCACTGCTCTTCCTTCATCCCTGGTAGGTGGCAAGGTGGGACTAATGTTATCGGTGCTGCCGTAACCGCTGGTGTTTCGGGGAGTAACGGCAGCAGGAATTTGCTCTGAGCGTTCCCCCACCCTCCGAGAGTATTCTTCTCTCACGAGCGAGAGAAGTTCGGCCTTCCACTTTGGCAGTTCTTTGGGGCAGACAGAGTCCTTGATGCAAGGGTCGCAGAGTGCTGCCAAAACATGAGTCTTACTCTCCGTCAACGGTAGAAGATATTTACGGAGGGCGAAATTCAACTTTCTGACCACCTCCTGGGCCTGTGGAGTCAGGGGCCCAGCCATAAACTGCAATGTACTGTGTCCACCCAGCGACTCCAAATGGCTCTTCAAACGCAAGATGACTGGGACCACATGGCTGAGTAGTGCTTTCTCTCCTGAAAGTTTTTCGGTGGCCAGTTTGAATGGTTCTAGGATCTCAACCAGCTGAGTGATGGTCATCCACTCCTGGTTGTTGGGGACCAGCTTGTTTATCGGAGCCGCAATTGATAGTGAGACAGCATGGACTGCCCTCTGTTGCTCCACCATGCGCTCCAACATGATGTAGGTGGAGTTCCAGCGGGTGGGGACATCCTGCAGTAACCGGTGTTGTGGGAGGCACTCCAGCGTCTGCCTGTCACGCAGCAGTTTTGCGGACTTAGAGCTACGGTGGAAGAAGCCCGCGATTCTGCGGCAGCGCTCAATGAGTTGAGTGACGGCGGTGGCGCTGTTCTCATCGGGCCCCTTGAAGCCATCTTTTACACAATTATGCAGCAAGTGCGCCATGCATGTTACGTTTGAGAAGCCGGCATTTTCGACCACCCGGATCATGTTCCTTCCTGCGTCTGTGACCATGAATCCCGAGTTAGTACCACCGTAATGAGTATGCTGCATCCAGTCTCTCATCATCTCTCGCAAGTACTCAGAAATGGTGTCGGCCCTGTGATCCGTATCTATCACCTCAAGGGACAGGAGTGCCCAACGATGACCTGAGTCTAGGCAACCCTTCATCTCCCACCAGTGAGCGGTCAGGGACAAATAGGAATGCCCTCCTCCCGTGCTCGTCCAAATGTCTGAGGTGAAATGTACATAGACGGGTTGTGATTTGTTCAACAGGGTTCTGAGACGTTGCTTGCATCCCTCGAACAAAGCGGGAATGACTGTTCGAGAGAAAGTTCTGCGACTTGGGATATTGTACCATGGTGCCAGGAGGTGAACAAATCGGCGGAAACCTTCCCTTTCCACCATACGGAAGGGCTGGTGGTCCAGAGCCATCATCTCTCCCAGGCGACGTGTTATTTCCTTCACTGATGGCGGCTTAAATCCAGATCTCACCCTTGTAACTTGCATGCCCCAAGCATCGATGGTTTTCTGCATGGGGCCTGTTGGTGTGGTTGGAGTGCTCTGTATACTGCTGCATGTGCTGCCGACTTCAACTGCGTCCAACTTCACATTTGGGTGGTGTCTCTTAATGTGCATCCTTAGCCCTGTTGTGACAAGATGCCTCATATCTTTTCCTCTGCTGACGCTCACACCGCAATGCCTGCAAACTGCCAAAGTGGTCCTCTGATTATGGACATCGTAATGATCCCATAGGAGCGATCTCGGCCTACCCCTACTACGCACTTCAGATGTACTCATGCTCGTGTTTGGACTGTCGGTGTTTGTGGAAGGGAGTATAATTGTTGGTTGTTTCTGTAGCTCGCCCTCCAGCAGCATGCAGTCCTCTTGATCACTAATTCCTGTGGTGGAAGCAGATTCCATATTGTCTTCCTCCCATTCCTCTGACACGTCCGCCTCCTCGCCCTCCTCTTCATAACAAGTAGGATCAGAGGTACTTGGAAGGACATCAGGATCTGAACGTAGAGTCTTTTGAAATGATGAAGAAGATTCTGCCATCTCACAGCTGGTTGAAGCATCTGTGGGTGTTTCAATAACCATCTCGTTGGTTGAATGTTCCCTTCTTGTCAATGTGTTCATCTTCAGTCCCCTGCCTTTCTTAGGTATTCGCGATAGCACTTGGCCCTTGCGACTAGAAAAGCCGGGAAGGAAGCGTTTCATCACACTGCTTGGAACTACACAAATAACGAGCCCTGTATTATAGCACTTTGTGTTGGCAAAAGGACCGCACTGGAACTACACAAATAAGGAAGGAGCACTGTATTATAGCACTTTGTGTTGGCTAATGCGCTGCACTGGTTGGAACTACACAAATAAGGAAGGAGCACTGTATTATAGCACTTTGTGGTGGCTAATGCGCCGCA